TCCCATCAATCTCTAAGGTCCAAGGCATAACTGGAAAATGGTTTGTGTTTAGTGTTTCATCTAAACACACACTACGTGTGCTTTGGGTCTAACCCTAGCAGCTGAGACAAGCTGCCCCAACTTCTTTGGTAGCACATCAGTGTCAGTCTTGACAGGATAAACTCCTCAAATCTACCCAACGGCTGAGAACATCCTAAACTAACACGAGTCACATAAGTGTCCAGTTTAAGGGATAAGTGCACAGAAACATACCAATATCAACATGAAACAATAATGTACTTTTATTCATAAATGTATCTGTACATCAATATGATTGGAGCTAAGGGCATACACTACCTAACAGGTTACATATGTGTTTGTTCCATAATATCCATAAACTTCCAAATGATCCTATAAAATCAACTATCCAAAAGTTATCAAAACATAGAGATTTAGCAATTTTCCTAGCTCTTTCAAGCTTAACTCTCGTTTCCATTAGAAAACAAACACCTAACTTATGGGTCTTGATGAGATCCATAACCTGTTGTTGGAGGCAAGGTCTGCCTGCCCCCCTCACATTCTAACTATCTGCATCCTCTTCAATATAATTTTTGCAATTTCATCATTGATATCATTTAATTATATCCATCAATTCTTTTCCTTCCTGATCATCGAGCATGTTAACCCCTTCACCTTGTTGATCATTCCACTTGTCTGCCATTTCATCGTCTTTTCCTTCTTCAACCTCCTTGTTGAAATCTCTTCCATCACTTTACAGGATATTATTTCCTTGGTTTTCCTCCATACCCTGTAAAATGGAATTATCAGTTAACATACCCGACAAGTTGCTATAAGCATGTTTGCCATTTTGTTTTGATTCCGATGCTTTGTATTTCTAGATCCATCTAGCTTGGGCAGGCTTGATTTTAGTCAGTCCTGTAGTTGCATGATTGGTGTTGATAAATCTCATCTTCAACGCCTCTATCCAATTTCACTCTAAACATTTTGGCCTGGGTCCATTGGTCTTTCCTCCAAGGTCTTTCTTTCTTTTTCTTTTTTTTTTTTTTCTTCGAAGACTCCCATTCTGATAGCATTCATCATTCATCATTCATCTTGGGGGGATGGAGCCTCGTTCTACCTTGAACTAGAGTCCTGCAACCATCATCTGGCTTGTTTCTTTTATTTTTTTGAGCACTCACAGTATTTATTTAATTTATGGCCTCTCCATCCATAGTTGATGCAAAGGTGGTCACAAATATTTTCACAGAATACTTTGATATGGCTCTAGACTCCCCCCTTGGGTAGTGGGTATCTCAAGTGGATATCACCATTTGAGTTTTGTAGAGGGCACTTCATTTGCCAAAGGTTTAACCACCGCCACTCCCTTAGTCATGGAGTTGAGTCTTTGCTTCTCAACTAAATTTTGGATACACCCATACTTCCCAGAAGAGAAACAACTGCAACTAAAGAGGACAAAATATCAAAGAATTCAGATTGATCGATAGTAGAAGGGAATGAAGACCTGAGGAAACCACTACAAAGAAGTAACAATGATCCAAAACAGGATAACCAAATGCTAAACCACATAAAAGGTGTCTAAGCTTACCTCTGCTCCACTAAACAACCTAACCAAGAACACAAAACTAAAACTACAGCTACAACACCTTAAAGCAACACAACAACTACTAGCCCCTAAAGGAAATCTATGTATGAAATACAGGAAACAAAAAACATGAGCAAAGTAGAGGAAACTTCCCTGAAACCAGAAAGGTGACTATAAACCGCATAGCTGCCTTCCTCCATCCTTCTCCTTCTCAATATAAATTTTTAAAATACACATTTATTTGTGGGATTTCTAAGAATTTCCCTAAATATGATGTGATGGTATTCAAATAATGCAATCGTTTTATCTTCCCCTTGATCTCACAGTTTTTCATAGAGAGATGAGAACTATAAGATTGATCTATCATAGATAGTAAGCTCAAATATTGTTTGATGTATTACTAGTAAAGTTTATGCATGATATCTGCGTGTTCTAAATTCCTGATATTATTGACTGTAATGTATTTCTTTATATCAATTATTAAAATATGCATTTATTATGTGATTATATTTTATTCAATTATTTCAACATTAAATTTAGTGTTATTGATGTATTTATGTGATTTGTAAGAATTTCACTATTATACTCAAATGTATACGTATTTTTTTAACTCCAAAATTTATTCCAGGTGGAGGGGCACCCACATAAAATTTTATTAAATAATCTCAAAAATCACAGGAAACAAGGGAGGACATAGCCCACCTTACCCTAGACATAGATACAAAGATCTCTCCCCAACTCTCTCAAACCCTCCACTACACAATGAAAAAAAGAAAAAAAAAATCAATAATCAATGCAAAGTGACAAAATGTTAATAATATCCTCATGAATAGTTGTCAAAAGGTCTTGGGTAGGGGTATCAATGGTATTGGAAAATCTGATTTTGAATTTGAAATTTGGCACAATTGAATCGAATTCAGATAATTTGAATATCTAATCAGTCAAATTTGGATATCCTATTCATATCAAATAGTTAATCAGATCCAAATTTGGATATGATTTGATTCAATTAGATAAATATCCGAATTCAGTCGATTATTTAATTCTTATATATAATATATAAAATATTTAAATTATATAAATAATTTATATACTTTATATAAATAAAATATTTATTTTATGTATTTATTAATTACCTAAAATAATTAATTAGTCGAATTCAAATCGAATCAAATATTCGAATATATAATCGAATTTAAATTCGAATATTAATTTTCAATATCCGTTAGATATCAAATCGAATTCAAAATCGGATTTTCAATTCAGATTGGAATTCCGCTTAGTACAACGACAAGGTGTGAGAGAAAGAAATGTCCATTTGGGTAATCAAGCGTTGGATTCTCTTCATTATACAATAAACAAACCAAGGGGGTGATTGTACCTTTCATGATGCCAATTAAAATTAAATTATCACTTTCAACTTTAATGCTGTGGAAACCATGATCAAAACACAAGCTGGATGCCATCTAATAAAGCCAGGAACTTATCCATATCCATTAAGTGTATTTATATTTTTATCCAAGCTTCCTAATACCATATGCAATGTTGATGTTTTGAACTTGGGCCAGCCCCTTAGAAAACAAATCTTTTTAGTTCGTTCACTATACTATATCTTGTGATTGCTAATGAATATATTTATGTTTTCCTATTCTTTTGGAAAGCAATTCGTCAAGTCATTATCAGTTAAAGCTTTCAAAAAATGCATATTATTATTATTTTATTTTTATGTTTAAGTGCCCAAACTTATTGCTTATAAGTTTTTAATTAGATATATTATATATTATTTTCATCAATTTATAAACTTTAATTAACTTTTTCCTTAATCTTTTAGGCTTATGCTTCAACTTTTTGGGCCATTATACCTTTAACCTTTTAAAACCTTAACAGTAATTCTATTTATGGTTTAATTTGATTTCTAAAATTTTCAGACCAAACCAAACTGTTTTTAAGTTCAGACTAGAGCAATTTGCCAATTTCAATTTGGGTCGTTAGGATAGTCAAAATCCTAATTGAAAAAGTTGTTGGATCGGTGTTTGGGTTAGGGTTGAAAACTGTGAATTTTAGGTTGAATTGGGGTTGGGAGTTGGGACCTTGCACAACCTGTCCCACCATAGCTCATGGGTTATTAGAAAAAAGGAGTAAGGCCAAAAATGAACCTAGATGAGAATGATCCACCAAGTTGTTTTTGAATGGATGTTTGAATCAAAAATGATTTTTCATCTTTTAAGCCACACCATCATTCATCATTCATCATTCATCATTCATTGATGCGATTGTCTTACCCATTAATAAAAATAAGAATGGCTAAATGTTATCTCAAAGGACCCTGATTTCATTCTTCCATTTATACGCCTGTCATTAAAATATATTTCCATCTTATTACATTTTCAGAAATTTATTAATGTAATTTTATTATTAGTATAATAATAATAATTATTATTAAGTTACATTATTTATTATAATAAAATTTGTTATTTTCAAAATACTGTAATTACAGTAATTCCAATAATTAAATTAATTAGTTTTTCAAAATAATTATTATTGGAATTTTCTTGTAGTAATTAAATAGAGTAGTCATTATAATAAATGTTTTACTATAGTTACAATTTCTTAAAATTAATTTTATTACACTAACAATTAAATTGTGTTATTTTTCCAGAAAAATTACTAGAAATCAATGAATATATACAAAATTTTCAACCAAAAATTTCTTTATAAATGTCATTTAAAATTGATTAAAAATTATAAAATTGAAAAATAAATTCAACAATTATAGCTCTAGGAAAGAGTTGGTGGAGTTTGCAAATTGGCAAACAAAATATCATAATTTTGGAAAATTTTGAAGAAGAAAATAAAAAAATATATTAATGTAATTTTGGAAAATTTCTTTAAAATGTAGTAAATAATTATTGAAAATTATTGGAATATTTTAGAAATTTGGGAATTTTTATTACATTTGATATATTTTGGAAAATTATTTAAAAATTGTGTGATTTTCATTTTAAATTATTAAAGATAAATTAGTATTGGTAAAGGAAAGCGTTAATTTGAACCAATAATTACACAAATTATTTCTGTTATTAATATAAATTAGTATAATATTGGAAAATTTTAGAAAAAGAAATTATTAATTAACTTATATTGAAAAATAAAAAATATTAGTGTAATTTTATAAATAATATATTTAAAAAAGAAAATAAATTATTTAATATATTTAAAAAATCAATAATTTAATATATATATATATATATCTTTAGAAATTTATCCAACCGATACTTAATATATCCTTTTGATCATTTTTACCAACAAATAGGTATTGAGTTTTTCCGTGTATCGCACGGATCCCTATAGTTCTGATAAAAAAAGGGGTTAGGGGTTTAAAAAAAAGAAAGTTCCGTAATTCCCAGAAGCTGCCCCTGATTTTACAGTTTACAGTGTCAAAGCGGCTGCTGGAGTCGTCAAGGATGGGGACTCAGACTGGGCCGACTGGCCCCGTGAACCAACGTCAGAGATTGATCCCAATTCCCAAATGGCCAAATACTCTCGTCACCAAAACAAGAAAAAAAGTCAAACTCAAATTTTGATAGTAGTGCTTGCCTGTCAATCGATGGAAAGTAACGAAGATGCAAACTTGCAGACTGCAGTTGGAGAGTTCCGTGAAACCCTAGACCTCTCTCAATGTCCCTCCTCTCCTCCATCTTCTTCTTTCTGGCTCTAGCTCTGGGGTTTTCGGGTCTCGACTCTTCTCTCGTTTTGGGCGGTCGTGTCCCAGAAAGAAGTCTCGCCGACGCTTCATGCCCCTTGAACTTCGATGTTCTCCGGAATCTCGTCCAACGCTCCAAGCGACCTCCGCTTCTCGATACATCCACTCAATGTCGATACATACTCCAAGGGATTCATCTGGTTCAATCCGTCTATCTCCAGACTACTGGGCTCTTCCTCCCTCCCTTGAATGCTTCTGCACCTTGTTGGGATGCCTTCCAGTCCTTGGTTAATGATTTCATTCCTAATTTCGACATCCGATCCGCTTGCGGCTTCCAGACCAGCTGGCTTTCTGAGGGTTGTATGAACATCACGTCTCGCTCCCAATTCGAAGCCCTTGTTCCCAATTCCACTTTGCAGGACCTCCAGCGCTGGTGCAATCAGCCGCTCGAGAACAGCGCTCCCTGTGCTTCCTGCACGACGAGCTTATCAAGGCTCCAGGCTTCTTACCTACCTGGGCCTGAAGTTGGGAATGTCTCTGACTGTACCGCCTACCCCTTCATCTATGTTGCTGCCATCGTTAACCAGCTTGGACCCACCAACCGAGGTACCGCTATTTGCTTGTTCTCCATTGATTTCTCTGCGGCGGCGGCTTCAAGCAGCAGCAAGAGACGCAAGAGTCTGATTTGTGGGGTTGTGATCGGCGGCGGAGTTGGCTTGCTGGGGGCAATATTAGGGTTCTATCTCCTTTGGAGAAGGCGCAAGAGGCGGAGGAGGGAAAAGAAGCGGAAGCTGCTTAGAGCTCAGACGAGTTCCTTCTCGGGGTTGGAGTCGATGAGTGGGAGCACGACCCTGATTAAGTTTACATTTGAGGAAATCAAAAAGGCTACCCGGAATTTCTCTAGGGATAATATAATCGGTAAAGGAGGCTACGGGAATGTCTACAAGGGTATTCTGCCGGATGGGACGGAGGTCGCAGTGAAGAGATTTAAGAACTGCTCTGCTGCTGGGGATGCAAATTTCTCTCATGAGGTGGAGGTGATTGCGAGTGTTAGGCATGTCAACCTTGTTGCTTTGAGAGGTTACTGCACCGCCACCACCACCTTGGAGGGCCACCAGAGGATAATTGTGTGCGACCTGATGTGCAATGGAAGCCTCCACGACCATCTGTTCGGATCAGTGGAAAAGAAGCTCAGTTGGCCTATCCGTCAGAAGATTGCTCTTGGCACGGCAAGGGGGTTGGCTTACTTGCACTACGGGGCACAGCCGGCCATCATCCACCGGGATATCAAGGCTAGTAATATACTTCTGGACGAGAGGTTTGAGCCCAAAGTGGCTGATTTTGGCCTGGCAAAGTTTGCACCGGACGGCATGACTCACCTGAGCACCAGGGTGGCTGGAACTCTGGGTTATGTCGCCCCTGAGTATGCTCTCTATGGGCAGTTAACAGAGAGAAGTGATGTTTACAGTTTTGGGGTTGTGCTTCTTGAGCTTTTGAGTGGGAAGAAGGCTCTTGTTTCTACTGCTGACCGGCAGACATCCCTTGTGACGGATTGGGCTTGGTCGTTGGTCAGGAAAGGGAGAGCACTGGATGTTATTGAAGAAGGTATGCCTGAGATGGGCTCACCGGAAATCATAGAGAAGTATGTACTGCTAGCTGTTCTGTGTTCTCATCCCCAGTTATATGCCAGGCCAACGATGGATCAGATTGTGAAGATACTGGAAACTGACCTGCCGGTTCCCTCCATCCCAGAACGCCCCATTTCTCTTGTAGCTGAAATTGACGACATTGAGAGATCCATGAGCAGTAGTGGCTCAGGTCCCTTGTCTACTCCTGTTGGCTATCAACCGTATACCTTCGAGAGGGATCATTGACGTTCTGATGTTGAAGTAGAAGAAAGCCCCACCACTGTGGTCTGTGGAAATTGCCATGTGAAATGGATGGTCTGATGCCAAGTGATCGATTCAAGTCCCAAGAGTGTCTTTTCCACCTTTGGTATGCCAAAATCATTTCATTTGTTGCTTTATATTGGCTGGTTCCTGAAATTGGGGACCTGTTTAGTGATTACTTTTGTAAAGATAAAAAGCTCTGATTCTTTTGAATTATAAGCAAACAGGGGAATGTATATTATTTATGTACATCTTTATACTGCAAGGTCCTCTTTTCTATTATCCAATCTGTATGTGGGATTTTGCAGCTTGGTTGCATGACAGTTCTTATTATGCTTCAATTGTAGCTTGGACACCATTGCCATGTCAAATGTTTTAGAGGACTAAAATCAAACTTTATGCTGTCTTATGTTGCAATCCGCGTTTTATATGGAAGATATAGCATAAAAGATTCACAAGTAAGTCCATTGTACTGTTTGTGGAAACAAATTCAAGTGGGGATGCCATGATTTGAAGAGCAAATGCTTTTATAACAGTTTCCTGACAGGGTATGCTCTTTTGATCTTGGATTATTTATTGCAAGGCAAACAGACCTGTACAGCTTCAAGCTTGCTACTGTTTGTGGAAGCTGCTTTCTCTCTTTGCTTCAGTGACCCCATTTTCCCTATTCTCTCTGAAACCTTCATTGTCAAGCGAAAAATGTAGTAGTCTAAAGTTTTCAGCTTCTTTGAAGTTGTTAGGAGTGGCGATGTTGCTAAAATAACTATTCTTATGTTCTTCCCCTATTAATTCTCATGTTGACTGGTGCAAGTATTGATTGAAATTGGCAGAGCTGTTTAAATCTGGACAAAAGAATGCCGTTTTCCTTTCTCAGGGTACCTATTGTTCTTAAATTTCCATTTGCTTCCCTCTTAATTGGACTATCTCAGTTCATTCAAATTTATCATTCTTCATTCTGTGGTGCTCTGTTTTGATGTTTTGTGAAAGCATGAAAGATTTTGGGTGGAAAATTTATAGAATGGATTTGGCTTATGGTATCCAATTAGCTATATGTACACTGAGTGAAGGCTGGTTCAATCGGAGCAATGGTGCTTGAGAATCTCAAAAAATTAGATTCTGATAACTGAAGAAATTGCGGCGGTTCCATGACTGAGTTTGTTAATGGTGTGCTCTACCAACTACCAAGTTAAAGATAAGTTGTTGAGCTTGTCATCTTGAAAGTTGAGAATTTTTTGGTTAATCATGAGGAATTAGAGGATTCTGTATGCGCGAATCTTGTTTTTTGTTGAATATAGCTTAGAATTCTGGGTGTCCTGATCGCCTATGTTCATGTTACTAAATAATCTTTGAGACGTATTGACAAATTTCTGCCAACCAATATAGACTTTGGTTAGATGGTTTCATTTCAAACCTGAATTCTTAGTGAGGAACTAATTGTGAAAGCTTCAAAGGTGCCCAATTCAAGGGAAAAGACCTTGTTGTTCCATTTGAATCGCTACTGCATCTAGACTATTGGGATATAAGGTGGGCATACTCGTACAAGAGAGCTATGACTCCACCTCATGGTCATTCATAGTAGGATGGTGTGTGGTTTTGTTGTCATTTATCTGAAAAATGGCGTTACTTCATTTCATCAAATAAATGTTCGTTTCGATTTGTATAAGAGCCATCAATGGCGCCGTTTTATAATGTATCTTGATAGGTGAGGTCAAATCTTTGATGATGAGGTATTGTCAAAATCAGGGCTATATTATTATGCACACGTAGATAGATGAGTGGGCTTTTGGGAGATCCCCTCAGTCTCGTTTTCAATAACTTCACCTCCCCCACCCGACAATGTCCGTGTATCAGGAACATCTCAACGTAGCGTAGCGTTCTTTGGAGATGTTCTTAATACACGACAGGGATGTGCTATAAGACATTGTGGGGGCTGAATTGAAGGAAAAGAAAAAGGTGCATACCCCAAACGTGTGATGTGATAGCCCGCCCATTCAGTCAATGCCTGGGTGCTTGCTTTGTCGACAACACAAGTGGTCATTGGCAAGTCATCCCAATTCCCAAGTACAAAATTAACAAAATACATCTCTAATTTCTGCATCATCAAAACCTAAACTCGATTCCATCACGACATGGGCTGCGGACAATCTTGAATTCTTGATAGCTGCTCCACTTGGATGAGGCCAACCGAATACCAAAACCCGGCTGCTGTGTCCATTGGGCTTGAGTTTAGCCTTTCAGGCAACCCAACCAAGACTGACATGTTGCGATTCTCATTCCTCTTCATTGATGATGTGTCAGATTTGAGCCCACAAACACTTGAAACATGGTCAGAAGACTCGGAATAAAGCCCCTTTCAAGTTTCAACTAACTGTTGGAACGGCAAATCAGGTAGAAAAAACTTAGTATTGACTTGGCATAGTAATTGAAGAGAAAGTTCGGTCAGGTAACTATCAATTCTTGAGGCCTTCATAGTCATCGGGATATTGGTAGCCTTCAGCCTGTTCATTTTCACTTACCTGACCTGAGTAAGCAAGTTTATCCGGGCCAAAGTTGCCCGATAAAGTTTGTTGCCGGCGTTATTGTGTGTTTACATTTACTCAAGTAAAGAGAGAGGCGGGAGGGGATTCGCGTTTTTGGTGATCGCTTACCTGGATAACTAATACTCTTAGGAAAATACACTTTCTGTAGGACCCAGTATAGTGGCATAAGAGCATGGAGGGTTATAGCAAGGTTTTTAAAAACGAACCAGAAACAGAACCGGTCAGGGGACCCGTTTCCGATTAAGCAGTTCAACCGTTTGGGAAATGAGAAACAGGGGCTTCACATCGGTCAGAAGAATCGGTTGATTCTCTAATGTCCAGGGATCGATCACCATCGCTAGCAAAAGTTTCGGAAGTACCTGAAGAAGAATCGACGCCGTCATCCCCTCCTAGAATCAGATCTTTGGAGCCAATACCATCTACCACAGTGGCAGCCTGATCACCAACAACAATGGCATCCACCTTTTCCTGCAAGGCAATAGCCTTCCTGAGAACCTTCTTCCAGCACTCCCTAACCCTAGAATCAATGCCTCGAATTGAATCCAGCCAAAAAAGCAAAGCCATTAGAGTCTCATTCACTCTCAACCGCTCTTTCGCATTCGTACGAACCAAATCCATTGTCTCCCTCCTCGAAATCCGCTGTTCAACTTCATCTACCTCTTTCTTAATCTCAACAATTTTCTTCACTCTCCTTCTAACCATAAACCCCTAGAAACAGCTCTAAATCTTCAAAGCAGCAGCCGGTCGTTTCTCCTCCGACACGAAACGAATCGGAATAGAGATGGCATTCGTAGACGGGAACTTCATGTGATGCCGAACGGGGATGATGTAGGGATTCGGCGAGTAGTAGCGAGGGTGAGTTCATTTTTGTTCTAACCCTAACGTAAGGTTGGAATCGGGGGACTGGGAACATGAATAGAATTTTTTTTAAATGAGCGAAAATGAATTTTTCTACTCGCAAACCGCTACCCGGGTCGAACGGTTTAGCGGTTCGATCGCCCGAGTCAACGGTTTTTTAACTTTTTCAACATTTTTTTAATAAATAACGATTTACAGTATAACCGGACCCGGGGGCTGAACGGTTACCGGTTTTTCCAGTCCGGTCCGGTTTTAAAAACCATGGGTTGTAGTCAATTAGCCGGTTGACCAACTTACTCCTACAAGTGGCATAAGAGCATGAAGGATTATAGTCAATTAGCCGGTTGACCAACTTATTCCTACGAGATACCGACAAACAAACGGGAATCAGGTATTTTAAGGCAAACACTGCTTTTAACCGGTAATTTCAAATTTCAATTACTGTAAGCAATATAATTATTCAGTATATTCACTTATTATTTTCCTTTTTAACAAAATCATTTAGAGCAAGCAAAATGAATGAATTGATGATACAACTCTCTTCACTTGCAGGTAAAGTCCCATATTTCTAATTTTCACCAGAGAGTCCCTAGATGGTTGAAATAAGCTATATATCATATCAACATGATTAAAAACCTTGTTTCTCTGCCCCTGAAAATTAGTTAAATAATAAAGTGTAGGAGAAGGAGATCCCACCCACTAAATAATAAACAAGGCCGACTGCACTTTATGGACAACTACCCCGAGTGAGGCTGCATGGGCTACATTATGGGCCAAAGAGTTTACATTACGGCCCACATGCAAAAAATTTTACTCCCCCTACACATCCGGGTCAGGGTCAGCTGTTGGGTGTCATTGAAACTTTACAGTGTTGTGTAAGAGTGGAAACTGGAAACTTAGAATGGATAGAAATGGACAGAATGAGAAAATTGCTTACCACGAGTCTGATGCGATTATCACCAGGTCATACCCCAGCCTCTGGGACACCCGAATCCGAGGCAAACTGCTCTTAGCTCCGCATCAACCACCGAGTAACAGCCAGCAGTCACGGTGCACCCTGCCCCTGCCATCAAGCACTGTGATTTCAGATCCAGATCCACTAAACCCACTCACAGATCAAATATACCCGGCCCAAGACTAATAGGCCCAGGCCCAACATATAATCATTTTATCATGCTCATTGTCTCCTGTCCCTCGTAATAAAATGCGCCTGGATTTGCAACGCATTATTCACTGGTGTGTCCCGATCCTCACTGAACTAGACATTTGGCACTTGATGACACATCAGATCAGACCATCAGTTCATACAACTCTCAACCGTGTCTTGGCGCATAGAATTGGTCCAATTGGACCCTGATGAGGGCGGATTTGGCCCTCTAGTGAAATTATGACACCTGGCATCTCATGCCAAATAAGTGCAGCCTCTCGACAACTGGGCAGCTCGGGCAGCTCGATAGAGCTTGCCACTTACAGACAGCTTGGCATAGCTTGCCACAAGCAGCTCGGCAGAGCTCGCCACAAGCAGCTCGACACAGCTCTCCCCCAGGCAGCTCACCACTTGCAGGGTAGCTCGGTACAAGGTAGAGCAGTTCGACATATCGTAGGAAGATCTCCTGCCTGACAACCGTACTTGACAGATCTGGAGACCTGCGCCAACGTATCTCGTCAGGTGGCGCTGTGCCTTCCAACCCTAAGAGTTGTCCCTTGCTTGGCAGAGCCGTACTCTACAACAGCTGCCTGCACCCGCCACCTCAGCTCTGGCAGTAACGACTGCGGCAGAGAGACAGAGGCGGTTATGACCGACTAGATAGAAGCGGTTATGACCGACTAGATAGAGGCGGTTACGCCTGATTTGACAGGACACTGCTATATAAGGACTTCGACCCCCAAAAGAAGGGGGGGGAGAGAAAAAATGATGGT